CACCAATCACAATTTTTTAAATCTAAGGTTATTTTCAAAAAATGTTTCGCACAGCGAGAAATCAAACAAGGAACGGATTTTTACTAAGAATTCCACCTACAAGCGGACTCTACCCAGCCTCAAGAATTAATGTTAGATAGTTTTCACCGTCACTATGTTTATTTCTTGCATCCGCTGATGAAGAACACAGGCGTGTTCGAAAATTCCGAACTTGGAACCATAACCACCGTGCTTCATTTTTGTCACGTGGTTAAAATTAATAAATATTTTTCGTACGGATTGCATCGGTATCCATTCGTTTAACGTTATTTTATGGACCAACATATCTACTCTCTCTCTCTCTCTCTCTCTCTCTATATATATATATATATATATATATATATATATATATATAAATTTCGGCAATTTCTGTCTGTCCGTCCGCGTGTCTGAAACCTGTATAATTCGGTCTACACATGCTTTACATATTATAGATTTTTGGAGTCAGAATGATTCGTTAATGATTGGTTATATTCACTTATGAGCAGATATCCTTGTGAAAAGTATGAATCCACCTCGTCTCCCCCAGCTATGTATTAAATAGTATGACATATCAGTAAATCACTATTATCTTCTACCAAATTCTTAAAATCCCAAAATGTTTTCTGGCTTTAAATAATTTGCAAAGGGTTGATAAGCCGTAAAAAACGAATTAATCTATTTAAGAGCGATTCAATGCCGTGTTGATATTGTATACTTTTTTGACCGGACATGTTTCTCTATTCGTATGCTCCTTTGGATTTCTGTGTCACATTTATCGCCATTTTTAAAACACTTCCTGGATAGTCACATTTTAAAGGTGCTTTTCCGTACTTATATTCAGTCGCTATATACAGTCACTTTCTCACAGACGTGATGTGGTTTCACTCTGTCTTTTCTACAAATATTTTCATGGCAACTGCTCTGACGAGGTACTTTCACTGGTTCCCAGACTACATAAATTTAAGCGTGCTACTAGGTTGGCATCTCGGCCTCACCCTTTCACTGTCGAAAGTGTTCAATGTAACCGCCTCTTCTACTCCAACAGCTTCTTCTCTCGCACCTCCTGCCAGTGGAACTCCCTTCTTTCTCGTGATTTTCCAAGCTTAGATGTGGCACAAAGCCGAAAATATGGGACACACAATGAGGATCGAACTCACTATTCTGTCGTAAATATTCAAGCGAGACAAGCTTGCTAACCATTACACCACCTCGAGGTGTCCAACTCTTTTCGTTTTTCTTGATTCTCTGATAGCTATAATCTTCACATATTGAAATGTAATGTAAATTCGACGTCTTCTGACGCCTCGATCCAGATCCCTGCCCTTCTCTATATCCTTTCCCCAAACATCCCTCTTTGCTCTTGCTCTCTGTAACCCCTTGTGTGCTTGTGGCACTTCCACCTTGCTTGGGGTGAAATACTTAAAAAAAAAAATCAATATCTCTTATTTTTCTCAATAAAAACTTTTGATTTTTTTTACTGTATTTTTATTTTTATCCGTCTTTGTGTAATCCGTGCAGGTTTTTCTTTTGATTGGCAGATATCATTAGTGTTTCGGCATTCTGCATAGATATATACAATTCTAGAATTTCTTATGTCTATCAGGGTAACATTGGGGTACGTGTTTATGTCTTGAATATGAAGTAGAATACATTCTCCATTTAATATCAACTTGTTTCCTAGTTAGATGCTAATAATCGACAAGCAGTGTGGCACCCAGATTCTACTAAAAATACCGACCTTTATGATTTGCCTTTATTCTCATTATTAATCCAAGTTAGTCGAGATTATTTTAAAAGTATGCTCCAATGACATAAGTAGCGAAATTTAAAAAAAAATTAAAAGCTTTGGGTGGTTGCTTAGTTGATTTTGTTTAGCGGCCTACCAACATCTATCGGTTATTTAAAGCCAAAATCTAAATATTTTGAACACAATTTTATCGCTTGAGCTAAATACATTTTGAACAAAATTGTATGAGTTTCAACTACTGAAAAATGCATTGTTGGAATTTTTATATATATAAAATATATTTTTGGTATCTTTACTATAAAAAGCTATCTTTATACTTTTATATTGTTTTGCTTTTGCTGGGAGTGGGGTTACTATTTGCCCATAGCTGGGATCCGAACAGGTGCTGCCACCATGGGTTAGTGTTGACCTGGACACAGCAGCAGTTAAAAGATGGTACCTCCAATCTTTTGATCGAATACCTTAGTGCCGGATGTAGTTTATCGTCATACCCAGGTCTATAAAAGCTTTGAGATTTCGAATAAAGCATAATCTGGCTACACCATCAGAAGTTTGTTTACGGAAGTTTAGAAATGTATGCAATCTAATAGTTATTTTCACGATCTTTCATCCAATACAAAACTCAAGAACCACTCAATATAAAGGGCTACAAAATATAGTCGTTACTGAGGAATTAAAGTAATTGAAGTTCTCTTTGGGTTGCAAACATTAGGCATGAGCGGACAGCCCTAACATCGAGATAAACACACAACGTTGTGAGGACTAACGAATCCATTGGCAGAAGTGTTGTGGGTAACAAAGGCTGCTTGGGGATGAGCTGATATCCCTTACCCCAGGATTGAAGGATTGGTTTGTAACTTAACTGTAATGCGATACAGACCCTTCATTTAATGTTTGTTAATGAAATGGAACTTTAGAAACAGGGGTCGACGTTTAAGCCTATAAAAGAAAACATATTCTCCCTCTTTCTCTTTTTAGGTCTTTGCCTCCAGATGTAGTCGACATTGATAAAGAACGCTGCCGACAGGGCACATTAGCTTCCTTGGTCCTCTGTTGAATTTTGAACGCTCTCTCTCTCTCTCTCTCACACACACACACACGCACACACGTGTCTATCACACACACTTGTTACAAACACACATTCACACACAAACAAGTACAATCTTATAATTTGTTTTAATGATTTTTCCTTTCATTAAAATTGCGTAAACATGTAATTCCTTTTGCTAATAACATGCATTGTCATTTCTTTTAAATTTCATGTTTTGCGTACGTTATTTTTACCTGGACTCACACGCGTCCGCCAATATATGTTCCAAGAAACAATAGACATTTAATGCAAATTTTCTGATACACATTTGAACCAAAGAGTTTATACTTGTTTTGTGATGGTTAATGAACACTCGTTGCCACTTTTGTGATGTCAACGAATACTCGTTGCCACTTTCGTAATGCTCGTTGTAGTAGAGACTTTGTAATCGCAGATACAACTATAGTAACGCCGTTGAACAAAGCTGGTGCCAGACGCCTTCGAATAACACTCACACTAATAGCACTTACTCGATAATACACACTCAAATATTAATCCGTATTGAGAAATAGTATAGTGAATAGTATAGTGATTAGCGATCCGTATAGTAGAAGATGATGGAATAGAAATTATGATCCGAACAGTGATAGAGGATAGAATAGAAATGGTGATTGTTTAGACGTCACGCTACTTTCTACTAACGTGTTACCCACATGATCATGTGATCCACTTAATTCAATAATGGGATCGCCTGTGTTTGTGATCTATGTTCCAGCTCAAGTGTCGGCAGCGACACTTTATTCCTAGATAACAGCTTGCGATTTACTAGTCTTCGGCAAAGCGACGAACTTTTAAACTGGCTTGCTCATATGAACCTAGCAACTAAAAACATGAAAGAAACACTAGTCAAACATTAATAATGGCTGATAATGCATCGTTTGACAAACAAAAATAACCACGACACTGTGATTACTTCCGGAGAAAAACAACTGAACTTTATATAGAAGAATTAGCAGTAAAAAGGATTAATGTTTGACAATGCTTCATCTAATCATATTCAAGATAATATATGGAGACATTTTTTAAGCATTTCACCCCCAAACAAGGCGGGATGCCACTAGTACGCAGGGAGTTACATAGTGGGAGCGAGAGTTAAGAGATGTGATGGAGGAAGGGATGAAGAGAAGAGTAGGGGATAGTTCAGGGCATCTGGAGATGTCGATTGACATTACATTAGAATTGTATAGAAATTTCACAGACGGGAGTTGCGAGATATGAAGCTATTGGAGTAGAAGAGACGGCCACATTTAACCGTTTTGATAGTGAAAGGGTGGGACTGTGATGCCAGCCTAGTAGCACGATTAAATTCATGCAGTCTGGGAACTAGCGATAGTAGCTCTTCGGAGCAGTTACCGTGAAAGTATTTGTAGAAAAGACAGAGGGAGGCGACAGCACATCTGTGAGAGAGCGATGAAGACGAGATACCAGCAACCAGATTGCTTATCCGTCTCTGGATCTTGTCGAGGACCTTAAAGCGAACAGCAGGGGCACCAGACCATATATGGCAGCAGTATTCCATGCAAAGGCGAATGGTTGATTTGAAGATTTGAAGATGGACTCAGGTGAGAAAAAAAAAATTTTTGGCGCGACACAGGGAACCAACTTTCCTTACGGTAGATGAAGCAATTGATTCAATGTAATTGTTCCATCTCAGATCAGCAGACAGTGTGAGACCAAGCAGTCGGAAAGAGGTGCTCTCGTGGAGTTGAACATCAGACATTCTGATGGGCGGCTGGAATGGTTTAATGTGGTGAGTAATAGAGAGAAGTTTTGTTTTAGATCCGTTAAAGTTAACCAGCCAACTCCTGCCCCAGTCTACAACCGATTGGAGGTCCTTTTCGAGACTAACGGCCAGGTTAGTTTTATCAGGGATATCAGATTTGCTATTTAGGCAGGAGTAAATAGTAGTGTCAAATTTATGTTTCAATTACTTACCTTACTGTTAAAAATATTAGTTTGAGGAACGTCGGTAGAAAATACACCGTTATAGCAAATATGAACTGCTTACAGAACGAGATATTTCTCATATCTGTGATTACATGTGGCGTTTATTATCAATTTTAGTATTTATAAACATAGCACCACAGCGGGACGGAGGTTTTGATTCGTGCCTTCGTATGGTTGCCAAGAAATATATAAAATTCATACAATTAGAAGAAAAGCATTAAATGTGATAGAAAAGAGAATTAATTTGTAGAAAGAAAGAAAGAAAGAAAGAAAGAAAGAAAGAAATAGGCGTCCGTTGAGTTCATGAATAGAAAAAAGATAACAAAAGAAAGAAAATTCAGCGGACATGCTCAGGGATACAAAGAAAAATACATTGATAAATATAAAAAGAGAAAAAAAAGAAAAAAAAAGAAAGCGTAAAAAAGCAGTAGATCAGTAAATAGAATTAAAGAAAAAAGAACGAAAGGCAGAAAGAAAGAAAGAAAGAAAGAAAGAAAGAAAGAAAGAAAGAAAGCAGGAAAGAAAGAAGGAAAGAAGGCAGGAAATTGGGAGTACAGGGAAAAAAAAGAAAGAACGAAAGAGAGAAATAAAGAAAGTAAGAGAGAAAAACGAAAGATAGAAAGAAAGAACAAAAACAGATAGAAAGTAAGAACGAACGAAAGAAAAAAAGATAGAAAAGAAAGAAAAAGACGGAAAGAAAGCACGGAATTAGAAAGAACGAAAGACAGAAAGAAAAACGATGTGTGGGTTCTTGAATTGAACGAAGACATTGTGTAGTTTCGCGAAATTAAAGAAAGATAGAACGGAAGACAGAATTAAAGAAAGAAGGCAGGAAAGAACGAAAGAAAGAAAGAAAGAAAGAAAGAAAGAAAGAAAGAAAGAAAGAAGAAAAGAAAGAAAAAGAAAGAATGAAAGAGAAAGAAAATCTATGTGTTGGTTCATAAATAGAAAGAAAACATTTAGTAGTTTCATGAAAAGAAAAAAGAAAGAGAGAAGCGACAATGAAATTAAAGAAAGAAAGAAAAAACGGAAGACAGAATTTCTGAAAGAAAGAAGGAAAGAACGAAAGACAGAAAGGAAGTAAGAACAAAATACAAAGTAAAAAGAAAGAAAGAAAGAAGGAAAGAAAGAAAAAGAAGGAGAAAATAATGAAAGAAAAAATGAAAGAAAAGGAAAACGATGTGTGGGTTCTTGAATAGACAGAAGACATTTAGTAGGTTCGTGAAAAGAAAAAAAAAAGAAAAGAAAAGAAAGAAACGACAATGAAATCCAGAATTAATAGATAGGTTATTGAACCAAAGTCTTTCACTCTCTGGTGCAAACGGCTTCATCCCAAAGCTTACAGTCACGTACAAATGTGTCGTTGGCAGACCAAACTAATCAGGAAGACGATATTCAATAACGCTTAATAATGGAAACCATATCCACTCCTTACGAGGCGTCTCGAAACGCACGCATCTACTGACCTTCGCACTGTTACGCTAACCTTTGGTCACCGTGGACATCACATTGGGCACATGTTGAATGCTAATCAGAGATGGATGCGCAGAGGTCAGGCAATGAATGGCTGGCGGCCAACATTGCGATGACAGGCGTCGACCAATCAGCACGTTGTTCTATTTTCTTAGCGCTGTCGTCATCACGGCATGAGATATTTTGGGCGGGAATTATAATTTTTTTTCGTAGCGAAATTAATGAGCAACGGAAACTTTAAATTCCATTTAAATCACGATATTTCAAAACGACTTGTGTCCTCACACACACACACACACATATATATATATATATATATATATATATATATATATATATATATACAGTGTAACCCGGATATAAGAGACCCGGATATAAGAGAAACCCGGATATAAGAGAGATTTTCTCTGGTCCCAAATTAGAGCCTGTGTTAATGTAAACAAAATAGACCAAACCCGGATATAAGAGAAACCCGGATATAAGAGACTTCTTCACCGGTCCCGGCAACTCTTTATATCCGGGTTACACTGCATATATATATATATATATTAGCAGCAGCAGCCACTGTTAATAAAATTACATCTTCCTCTCCAAGTGCCTAATCGAATTATTTTGAGAGCATAAATAATATATATATATATATATATATATATATATATATATATATATATATATATATATATATATATATGTCCACGTTCGAAGTGCAACAAAGCTTCGTTAATCTACCAACTCATCAAGCACGAATTTTAATAATAATATAATTATAATAATAATGAGTTGGTAGATCAAGGAAACTTGAAGTTAGATTTAGAACGTAGGTATATGTATATTCATTAATGTATACTTCTGAGTTCTGTCTAACCACAATACGTACTGTTTTGATTACACGTTAAATTAAATTGAGTAAATATTTATTCGCTTATCAGTGTATGTACGCTAACGCACGTATATACGGTTGCTAATATCTACTTATTTGATTTATCCACATCAATACGTATATATATATATTTTAAAAATAATAAAAATAATAAAGAACTTTGGATTATTTACCTAACGAGTTCTTTCCTATTTTCTATATATTTTTACACACACACGCACGCACACACACACACACACACACACACACACACACACACATATATATATATATATATATATATATATATATATATATCAACCATTCGCCCTTGCATGGAGTATTGCTGCCATATATGGTCTGGAGCCCCACTTCTGTTTGCCTCGGGGTTCTTGAGAAAATCCAGAGAGGGTTACGCAATGTAATTGGCCCTGATCTGGCATCTCGTCTGTAGTCGCTCTCTCACAGACGTGCCGTCGCCTCTCTGTCTTTTTTTATAAATAATTTTCATGGTGATTGCTCCAAGGAGCTGCATTCGCTGGTTCCCAGACTTCATGAATTCAAATGTCCTACGAGGCTGGCATCCCGCTCTCACCCTTTCACTGTTGAAACTGTTAAATGTAGCCGTCCATTTTACTCCAATAGCTTCTCATTTCGCACCTCTCGCCTGTGAAGCTCCCTTCCCTTTTCCTGTTTCCCTGATAGCTATAATCTCCAACTATTCAAATGTAATGTCAATCAACATCTCCAGTTGCCTTGATCTATCCACTACCCTTCTCGTCATCCTTTCCATATTTTAAATACTATATTTATTAACACATTTATAAATGTGTTAATAAATATAGTATTTAACTTATATTAAATCCCTAAACTATTTGTTTAAAAAAATTAAATATTTAAATTGATAGCAAACATCAAATTTTTTTTAGACATTTAAATTTCTATCAAGCATTAAAATCTATTCTTTACATAAATTGCTAAAACCCAATTACAGCCTCTTTCTCTTTACTTCCCTCTCCCTCTTCTTTCTTTTTCCCTTTTCCTTTTCTCCCTTCTCAATTATTATAATTGTACCTTAAAGTGGTCTGTTTTTTTTCAATATATCACTTCCGTTAAGTTAACCGTCTAAATAGTTCAAGGTCTGGTCACTCTTCCTCCCCCAATACAAAGTATGCCTGAGAGAGATATGAAATTAATCCCTCTCTATACTCTACCATGTCTCTTTAACTTCTTCTTTTTACACTCTCTATTACATTACAAAAACTTACACTAACCATCAATTTTAATTTAATTTTTCGTTTCATTTCATTTTTGGAAGTGCTAACTGATGATCCGGCGTCCTTTAAAAGGGCTCTGGTGAAATAAATTATTATAATTGTACCTTAAAGTGGTCTGTTTTTTTTTTAAATATCAGCTCTGGATTTACATTGAGCTATAAGGGTTTCATCCTCCTTGGGATTACCCATACGGATTACCAAGTTCTTCATATATATATATATATATATATATATATATATATATGGTGGGATCTTCTGTCATATTCGACGTATGAGGGTCAAGCAAGTGAGTTCTGAGGAAACGACAGCCTATGATTTGATTATAGTAAGTTGTGTTGAACAACAGAAAATCCTCAATCCTTCTCCTATTCAATCATCTGGCGTATATAATTCCCCATCCCTAGAACCGAGGCTATAATTAGTGATGTGCGCATAACCCCGTCATTGTCCTCAGACACCATTTCTAAATTAGACTCCCATAATGCAAGTGGAGGTGACAGGATACCAGCCGTCTTGCTAAAGAAATGTGTTCCCAAGCTGGACCCAGTTCTCTCCAAACACTAGAACTATTGCCTAGCTGTTTCCTGCTTTCCATCTTGTTGGATGTCCTCCTCTGTTGTCCCTGCTTTTAAGAACTCTGGAGAACCTTCTGACCCCTCTAACTATCACCCTATTAGTCTCCTACCACTTCCGGCAAAGTATTCCAGTCTTTAATCAATGCTGAAGCGGTTAAGCATTTTACCTATCACGACCTACTCTGTAACAAACAATATTCCGGGCTACCATTGATATAACGGCGAATCTCGAGCTGTGGCTCTCGATATCTCAAAGGCATTTGACAGGGTTTGGAATTTTGGTCTTCTACATAGGCTTCAGAGTTACGGTCTTACAGGATGATTGTTTGATTTAAACAAATAATTCCTATCAACTCGTGAAATGAAGGTCGTTCTGAACAGACTCGCTTACGGAGCCTTTCACACGAACGCCTGTGTCGCCCAAGGCTGTATTCTGGGTCCTCTGCTGTTTATGATCTTCATCGATGATCTTCCTGATGTCATCAGTTCCCAAGTAGGCATTTAGTTTCCAAGTAGGCATTTATGCAGATGACATAAATATTTACTTCTGTCTCAATACCAAATCCGTTAGAACTGACAAAGTTAACCTGTCCGCTGCTCTTGAAAGGGACCTCTAACCAGTGGTCAACTGGGGCCGGAAATGGAGTGTAGATTTTAATGCCTCCAAAACTAAAAGAGATCATCTCACTGTTGCTTCTTGACCTCACGTTTTCAACTGATTTAAAGTGGAACAACTACATCAGATCAATAGCTGCATCTATTGCAAGGAAAGTTGGGTCATTGCGTCGTGCCAGTAAGTTTTTTTTCTCGTTGGAGTCCATCTTGCACATTTAAAAATCTATCATTCGTCCGTGTATTGAATACTGTCGCCATGTCTGGTTTGGTGATCCTGCTGTTCATCACGAAGTACTTGACAAAATCCAAAGAAGGATCTGCAATGTAATCGATCCGGACTTGGCATCTCGACTCCAGACACTTTCTCACAGACGTGATGTGGCTTCCCTTTGCCTTTTCTACAAATATTTTCATGGCAACTACTCTGATGAGCTTTTTCCTTGGTGCCCCATTTAAATTAATGTAAGCGTGCTAATAGATAGGCATCAAAGTCCCACCGTTTTAGTGAAGAAATAGTTCAATGTAACCGCCACTTCTACTCCAAAAGTTTATTTTCTCGCATTTCCCGACAGTGGAGATCCCTCCCATTGACTTGCTTCTCTGAAAACTAGAATCTTCAAATATTCCAATGCAATATCAATCGCCCATTTCTGTTGATTTTAACACCGTTTATCTTTTATCCTCTCTTCAATCCCCCTCCCTCTACCCAATCTTTTGTCTCACTTTCACTCTCTGTAACGCCTGCGTACAAGTTGCACTCCCCAAGTTGCTTAGGGTGAAAGAACAAGAAAAAAAAATTGCTTAACTTATTCTTCGTGGCTGAATCGGTTAAAAGCTCATCTAATGACGCTTTCTCTTTGAAATGGTCGCACGTTCAAATCCTCCCGGAGAACGTATTATTCCCTATTTTTCGATACTAATCTTTTTATCAGAAATTGTTATCTTGCCTTAATAGACGAACAATTCGTAATTGCATAATAAATGTGTTTTTCTTTCAAAACCATACTGTGGTTGAATCTTCTTTGGAATATAACGTCTGTGAGAGACTTGCTCTTCCTACTAAGTTTTTGCGTTTGACACAAGAACATTTTTATAGGGTAAGCATGTAGAGAGATTTTAAAGCACTAGCGTGTTGGCCATAAAACCCGGGATCTAATCTCACAATGGGTCACTTTGTAAAAGAATTCACTTCTTGTTATTTCGGTCTTTGATCTTTTCATTTCCTCAGCATCACTTCGATTTTTTCTCCATTTTCGGGTATTGTGTGTGTGTTTTTTGCTTGTATGTGCATATATATATATATATTCCTTCTGCATACATATATATTGTCTTATTACAAGGAAATAGCATATATATATATATATATATATATATATATATATATATATACACATATACATATATATATATATATATATATATATATATGTATGTATATATATACATACACTTGTACGGTGTGAATGCATGTGTGCGGGCATGCTTTCCGTCTAAAATGTGTGTGTGTCTGTTTCTGAAAGTATGTGGGTATA